TAGACGAGACAAATTTCAAGTTTTTTGCGGGCGCACCCAGGAGCGCTCACTTCATGGTACTCGGACGCAGTGTACCTTGGCAAGTAGTGGAAGTCAGCATCTACACGTTGTCGGCGCCGTGAGGACGAATTGCTTTATAGCTTTCTCCATTTTAAATGGCAGCTACGACAAGTGTAGGTGTGCTCAAAGGCTGCTACTAACGGTTGGCAATCATCGAAAGTTGTATTTTGATTTGCGACAATGTGCCATGCCACACAGATCTGGAGCATTTTCTGAGAAGAACCTTACCGATCAACGAGACTTCTGCGACTGGCCCCGTACTCCCCATTGCCTAACCCCATCGAGGGAATCTGGATTAGTATAGAGGTCTATATGTGACAAACAAAGAGAGCACGCTATGCTGAAATGCTCCGAGGTGACCCTGCAGGTGTTGTAAGCAAAAGCGCGTGGCGGATACGTTTTCTGGTGAAGCTGGTCTCTGAAGCACGAGCCTGCGGGACGCAGCATCACTGCGAACAGATAGTTCAGTGTGTTATAAAGAATTATGCTCGCGTTCTTTTTTTGACAAATATGCAAACCGTTTCTTTGTCAGCAAACTACTTGTTTGTGCATAACCGTGCTGTTACCTCATCATCGTGTGAGGTCATAGTACACCATACTCTCTGCATGAAATATGCACTACCCATGACACTTACTCCAAAGTAGTGCGCAATGTCGTGTAGTATAGAAGGTGCCGTTTCTGTCCAGTGAAACAACCCTGCAAACGCTTGAGAACTCGTAGCGCATACAAATAAGGTTGTAGAGTTAGCAATGGTCTGAAATCACTTGTCCAAGTATTTTGCGTTTGAAAAGGAGACGGATAAAAGAATTGGATACAGGTAGCGAAGAACACGGAACTTTGAGAACATGACCGTATCGAAGAGGCCATTGGCCAATTGCTTAATGCGTAATAGCATTACAGGCGACTGGACGCTGCTACAAATGGCGGTCGGTGCGGCGGCACAGAGCCAACTGAGACAGCAAAATAAAGATGTCCACGATCGCAAGGGAAACTTTTTTCATTGCTGTGACCCAACACACCGCGCCCACTACCGAGGGATCGCCGTCCTATCGGTTGCACCCTGTGTGCTCCCTTCCATGCTTTTACGCAGTTTCAATCGAGTATGTGAACGGAGCGCACCCGACCTGGAATGAATATTACCCAGGTCAAAATTGTACTGATCACATATCCATGATTCGCCAGAATCTGGAGTACGTTCGAGCGTTGGTTGTGATCGACAGAAAGGTGGCCCACACACAGCCTACGTCCGTGGTCTCAAAGTGCTGACATTAAATTGGCCACAGTGGAGCGTTCCCCACCAAGAGGTTGAGGTCCCAAGAACACCGAACACACCTGGTTTGGAACGTTATTGGAATTGACCCGAAATGATGCCCATAGCAACATATCGCTACACTCCACCCCCTCTGAATGTTTTCTCTTCCTCCTCACTTGTGTCTTTATCCCGGTGTTATGGTATTTCGGTCAAGTGCCTTTATAAATAAATATATATATGTATATGTATATGTATATATATGGTTGGCGGCATCCGGTTTCCGATTTGCCTGTCACTGTGGCAAGCCACAGGACGCCTGCGCCTACAGAGGGACCATGGATGGCTTGCGCTGCACCACCCACAGCTCTAACCACACACCCCATATCCAGTGTAAACCCGAAAAAATAAGACCGGGAGACATGCGGATGGGAACCACGTTTCATCAACGGAGCCGGCCCACACTCCTTCACAGACAAACACAAGCACACTGTATTTGGGAATCAAGCGCACACAAGGCGGTGGCTGGACCGTAGTCCGTTCCACACGGAGTGCATGGAACCACTCTTCGAGCCTAACACGGCCACAAGGACCGTGCACCCCGTCCCCTCCAGCAACGACCAACTGTCTCCTGGAGCCAGTATGGACGAGGTAGTGGGTAATAGACAGGTAGGCACCTTGTCAACATGCACATCAAGCGCAGCCACACCGGGGATATCAAACAACAGCCAATCACTTGAGAGAGAGAGAGAGATACAAAGAAAATAACTCGTTTAAGGCATAAGGAAACTGTGACATAAACCTTAAGTTAATGAGCATATGACATAAGTTGCTTACAAAGGAATCCTAGATAAGTTCACGAGGTCAGAATGCATACTTTCCGGAAATGCCACGAACACATAAATGTTATGGAAATCGAATACAATTGGCTTAAGCGAGGTGTGCAAGTTAATGGAATAGAGTACAGGTAGACATTTATATGAGAAAGAAAGGCATTTAGGCAAAACTGAAAACCCGCCACCTGAAATAAAGAGACTTAGCATGCAAGCACGCGGTTAGTAAATCGAATGCAGCGTACCTACAAACGCTGCGCCGGTTCTGCCTACGTTCTCTGCAGAACCCGTCGTCGCTTCGGTAGTAGTCCGGAGTGGCCTCGCTCATAGCTCACTAAGCCTGCCTGACTAAGGCACTCGCGACCGCATGTCCTACAGCACCATGCGCTTGATGTCGATGGAGTACAACCCATCGGTATGGGTTTTAACTATTAGCTAGGCGGCAAAGGTAGTGACCGTGCATTTTGTGACGCACCGCCTGTGTCTCCTTAGTCTCGTCTATCCACACTGGTTGTCTTCCTACTACCTCCAAATTTATCAGCTGTATTACGAATGATTTCCGTCGCCACTTGTTCTCTAGCGTGTTCAGAAACTCCGGAATAGCATGCAACTTCTTCAGGGTTATTAATCGGCCGTTTGAGTACATGGCAACCGTGCTGGCGCATACCTTAACTTCAAACTCCGCTTTCAACCGTAAACCTACAGATTAGAAGGTTACTGTTGGCTTCGCAGACACTCACACCCACACCAGAGCGTCGACGTGGCTTTCTGTCAAGGCACTGCGACGAACCCCTCCATGCTGTCCTCTAGCCTCGTTTGAGTCCCACATCCGGACTCAGCTGCGGCAGGTTTTCACGCCTACGTTAAGCACACAAGTAACTTGCTTCTAATCCTCTCCCTACTCATGCGTTTTCAGTATTCTGTTTTTCACTTTCACTGAGTGGTATGCATAAGGTCGCCTTCTTGCCAATGCTATTCCGTGAAGTGCACGTTCACAGTGTTACTGATAATTAATTTCACTACGGATCATTTTCCTAGCCCCCATCTCCAAATCGCCGGTATATTAGGCTCTACGTTTTGCCTCGGTCCTCCTTCTTTATGTGTAGATTCTCTACGATTTCAGGTTCTTTGGCATGTACAATGTCGATACTGCTTGGCCGCAGCCTTCCCTTCCAGTCTGCTCTACGGATGCGAAACCTGGCCCTTTAGGTCTACAGACTTATGTAGGTTAGTTACGTTAGAGCATCGCTACATTCACAGCTTAGCTCACATCTGGCGGGCGCGCCGTGTGCAAATAGCGTGTTTGGCGTCGTGTATTTGGTACCAGAAGGGCGAGTGAACCGTTGGGCCCCGTTGTGTCACACACAGGGGTCTGATGGCTGGGCCACCTGTTGCGTGTGCCAACACAACGACTGCAGCGCCGTACGTTATTTGCGCGATTGGATTATGGATGAAAGAAGAGGATGGGAGTCCATGAGATGACTTGGTCAAGAATTTTTCGTCGGTTGGTACCTTTCAGCTGGTTGGCTGGATTCCTCGAGATCATTAACGGGTTTGGTGGTGTTTCGGTTTTGGAGGTAGCCTGAGCTGGGGGTGCATCTCGGTGCTTAGTGGTTCACGGCTGAAGCGTTGTTCGCTATGCCACTGAGATCCGTTTGGTTAGACTCACTGGTTGACATGCCGAGAAACCGACCTTATTGGCGTTTGTGTTTTATGTTTCGTTGTCCATCCTTCTCCCGCTTATCTTCCTCCTCCAACCATGTTCTCACATGTGATGATTAATATGACACTAAGCATCATATCACCTTTTTACTTTTTGTGTTGTATTCTGTAATGTTTTGTGTCTGGTTTTCTCATCCATATTCGTATTACGGCACATTATCTGCAGTGTGTTCATTACCTTCAGCTAGCGTGTGTTGGTGATAATGACTAAGCAACCACAACTTATTTGTGCATCGAAAATATTAAGACAATCTTGTTGTTCGCACAATCCTTCTTTTTGGCTTACATGTGGTGGGAATACTGCTTGAACAATGGGCTCGTTCGTCACCTTGTTTTTGGCACAGGGACAACAAGTGGACCCCTCAGCATTGGTATTCCATGCAATGGGCCGGTGGCCGAGTGGTCTGCACGTTTGCTTTACAACCATAAGGTCACCGGTTCGAATCCGCATAGGGGTGGGCGTCCTCGCGGTATACTCAGCCCGCGCGCGACTGGTGGTGGTCGCGCGGCAGCGAAGCGCCGTTACGGCGTTCAGCTGACACATTATTTTATTATTTTATTTACGCTGACTCATGCGACTTGCACTTTTTACGCAACCTAGGTCTGTTGTAAGAAAACGTGGGTAGACCAACGGATGAATTAGTCAAGATGGAGATAAAAGATCTCACTTCGAATTTGACTTCAGTTTATCCTCCCTCTTCCTGGTTTGGAGTCCGAGAGACGCTAGACATGTCTGTTTTGATACTGTTGTTGACATAACGTTTGTGTTGTTTGTTTTTGATCTTCTTTTATCGCCTTTACTCCCCTCTACGACAATCTCGCTTTTGTTGCATTATCGACCAAACCGTGAAATTACCTCTTTTGTTTCTATGTGCTTATGTTTTTATAACCATTACTCTAATGCATTGCGGCATAGTAACCAAGATGTTTCTCACCTCAAGCTGATGACGATGGTCAGTAGTTGTTAGAGCATATGCAGTACAACAGGTGCTTTCACTTATCTCGGTGACCAGTTCTCATCCATCTTACACTTCCGAATCATGATGTTCCGATGTTCTTAAGCGGTGTAATTTTTGTTCCCTGTCTCTGAAGTACGTGTTTCGTTGATCTCTTCATGTTTGCTTTCTTTCTTCAGCTATATCCTTGGTACTCTGCGCGCTTCTTCTCTTTGAAACCTCGGTTTGCCACATACGCACCGCCAAAGCGCCTCTGCTTCCTTCCACTCGGGTGACACCGTTACTGATGCCTGCTACACTTTCAATCGGCTGGTTCCGTTCTTTTCCCTGCTATCCTGTTCTTCTCATCCCCACATCTCAGTGCGCTTGAAATCTCCCCTCTGTGACCCATGATCCGCTTAAATTATGTTTGTAGTGTGTTCCTGGGAGCTTTAACGTCCCTGAAGGTAGGCTGATCAGGTATCAGTAGCCATTGCAGACACCCTTGGGCGCTTCCTTTACCAACCACTGTTTACAAGCACGTCTGTGTTTGAGACAGCTGCATCCATCCTGTCTACTTTTCCACCGGCGATGCATGTACCCTTTTTATTTTTTTTCGGAACGAAGCACCGGTTCATCCACTCCGGCTGTATGTAGACATTTATGGTGCTTATTATTTTCTATCTCTTTTTGTCCTTGACCGGTGGTGTGTATTTGTGTATCCAGGAAGCACTCGGCTGAACTTTGTGAAGCACACGCAGCTGCGCATGCGCGACTTTGGTCCATACATGGTGTGATGCTTACTCTTTGCCCATAACTTTTGATGTCGCTATCCAAATGAGAAGTGTTGGCAATTATCATGTTCACAACGAGTTGAATGCACCTGCCGATGAACTTCTAGTCCTCTCCGACTTGTTCCCTTTCTATGCTTGCTTGTTCACTCTGAATATGCACCACAACGCACTTCCGCTGCCACATTGCGGACTTTCCCATACGCACAGATCAATTCTCAGGTTGGTGAATTTGTCAACACCAACTGATTAAGCATTTTCTGTATTATTTTTAGGGTTCTTTTTGTTTTCTTTGTTCAAGTCTTTCATACATAGTTATCCCTGTACTTTTATGAACTTATGACCCCTTTGTTTTTTTATCCTAAACTCTCATCCGCTTTTCACCCTAGTTGTTCTGCCCGCTTCACATGCTTTGTCTCAGCATTTTTTTGATACTACATCCGGTCTGTTTGTCCTTCCTCGAGGTCAGTAGTCCCTACTTTCCATGACCGATTATAACCATCAGTTTACCGCCTAGTGTAGTGAGGTCTCAGCCGCAGCCCAAACGATGCCATATATTCTGATAGTTCCTGAACTGTTGTTCGGGTGGTAACTCGCTCCCACCAATGTTTGAGGTCTGTAGTGCCTCAACAGAATAAGGTTATAAGATTTGGATTATTCGCAATCGCTCCCTTTTCATTCCATTTCGCGCATTCTTTTTTTAGACTGTACTAATCTTGCAATGACCGCGGTCACTGTGGTCGGACCTTGTTTTAGCTGACCAGTTGCCTTTATTCTAACTGACTGTGTCTCATTTCAACTTAATAGCATGATGCCGTCGCGCTGGAGTTTGTTGACAATCTTCCGATCCCTTGTAGGAATTTGTGCAACATCGTTCCTAACTTCAGATCCACTATTCTTCTGAGTCAGCTCTGATGACCCACTTGAAATAAATGTGGTGGTTGTTCACGTCAGCTCGTAGCAGATCAGTTATATCATCGCCGTTACTCACGGATGAAAACGCTGGCCATTAATAATAATAATAAGATATATTTCTCGTGGTACCGAGATATCGAACCCACAAACGGACCACATTTACTTGATTAACGCCTGTCTCTCTTCCGATTCCTTATAAGGTGACCTGCTTGTATTAATAATTGGCGGCGTCTGATGTCGGATTTATCGGTCACAGTGACTTCGAGCGACCACAGGATAACACCTGAGCTTAGGGAGGGCGTCTCATTGGTGACCCAAGTTTCGGCGCCCGTACACCTCACCCGTATCGTATGTCAACCGGACGGAAACTGCTGGAATGCATGCGAACGAGAGCTATGGTTGATTCGAACTTGTCCAATCTCTCTCACTCTACATGCACACCATACACGTGAAAGGTTTGGAAACATGCGCACTAGATGCAAACAGGGTGGTCGCTCGATCATAGACCGTCTTATGATGGAACCGCTTTTGAACTTGGCACTCACGGCGACTGTATGTTGCCATCCTCAACAACGACCACTAGGCAAGTTTGTACTCCTAACTGCGTGGCCTGTTGATGCATATCTCACAACTGGTGGAGTCTCTGTCCAGGCACGGGTCGATGCTTGATCCAGTATAGTAACTTTTCCACTTGGATTGATGGGTATTACCGTCGTGCTTCGGCTTTAGATCAACTAGCTGGCATACTCGACTTCATGTGAACGGCTACCAGCTCAGCATGCTCCACCCTGCGTAAATACTGGTACAAGCGAGCTCTCACCGCCTTATCGTAGGAGCCGGTTTCAATTCTATGCATTATTCAGTTTAATCAAATCAATTATTGATGGGTCGTTTGTTTTCTGGGCGCCAACGGCGTTTTGCTGTCATTGGCGATCTTGGTGACCTGCATCTCTTTTGAGATTGTAAAAAACCGTATCTTCAGCGTCTATCTAACCTCATGACTTTGGAAGTTAGAATGTCTGACTGAAAACAAACGTGCTCGTGTTATCTGCGCTATACCTCGCTCACCATTTATCCCGCTTTCTGTTCGTCTCGCCCCAACTATGAGCTTTCGCACTGTTGAGTCCGTTTCAAAAATTCGTACATGCTACGATTAATTGGATTGGTTTCCACCCAACCTCTTTTGAGGAAAAACCCGGCCTGCATCTCTGGCCCAATTTATTAATAATTTAATGGTAATTACAGTGCAATACACCGATCTCAATCGCTTCCAGATACCTGCGTGGTTATACTCCACGGGTACCGACGCAGACGAAGTCGACGTCTTAAACTTTTCCACTGTATTGTCCCTGGACGATTCGTTTTCTTTTAAACCCAATCTTCTCAGATCCGCCACTACAGTAGCAGCTACACACTCACTAATCCTAATTGTGCTATCATCGTAGCCCAACTTCACACGCTCCACGTCTTTTATCGTGCTTTAAGGTTTCTCTTCTGATTAGCATAAGGATGGATATGTTCGGTGCACTTGGCTTATCTCTAGCCTAACTCCATTTCGCACGGATTTGAGCACTTGTTTATCGCTTGAGCTCTAGATTCACTGTGTTCATTCGGTGAAGTTGTCTGTTTTTTCCTCTCCCCCTAATGATCCCTTAATCTGTGTTTTGTCTATCTGCCAGTGAAGGTGCAACTATGAATTTCCTGTACCTCGTATAAATGTAGATCGGTGCAAATACGAACAACGAATCATGCATGGCTATTTTACTGTGCGCAGATGTCCACTCGTGTTATGCTATCATCGGCCCCGGTAAATGTCCCTAGACGTTCGGCATTTCTTACGTGTTGGCGGATAGTGTATGGCATTTACCACTCCCAGAAACGACGTATCTAGCGTATGGTGAACCTAGATCAGGTAACAGACGAAGGTTTCCACACGGTTACCAGCCCGCGGAATTAGTATAGCAATGAGGCTGTACACATCGCCTATCGAAGTTACAGTGTTAACAAGTTACGCACATTTACAACCACTCGAATTCCTTCGAAATATTAACCCCGCATCAATCTTGCTGTCATGCCTCTCTATGCTGGACCACATGCACATTACTGATTGTGGTCGAACTGCGGATTCGCCAAACATGGAAGTGCTGATTGCAAAATAACTTTCATGCATACCACACGCCGAATGGAATGCTTTATTCGCCAATATTTTCACCGGCATTATGCTATTTATGGCTACTCGATGGATCCGGCATTTACGTTCCTCTATGTGATGGCACACAGAAGGAATTTTCGTTCCCTTGTTGTTCTGCACATTCCGCATATTTTCACACCTCCTTATTGTGGTCCTCGTCGTTATTCGGTGCCTATGCGTGCTTACACAGTGATATCTGACGATACGATGGTGGCGGTTGGTGAGTGGATGGGGGGATGCACTGGTTTACTCTGCATACCTTTCGTTGACATTCATTTGGGCGGAATCATACATGGCGTAGAACTGCTTGAACGAATTTTACTCCACATTTTGCTGATACACTTCATTTCAGTGAGGCTGGAACCTACCAACCTAACAACAATGGCTGTTTCCATCACTGCAGATATCCATCGATAGATTCTCTGTTTTTGGATAGGTGCTGCCTGCAAGACAATGTGTAACAAAGTGCACACCTTGAAGCATGCCAGCCTTAGGGAGGATCCAAAGCTCCAAAGAGAAACGGATGAGCAGACGTTGTCCACATAGTTGGACATGGCTTTGTCCACTGGATTGCAGCGACGCCCAGCACTTGCGCATGTGTGGGGATTAGAAGACAATCGACCATTGAAACAAGATGAGGTATGTCCAAGAATTTGGTACTTGAAACCAGGGAGGATAAAAGTGCAGATCAAACGGGACGATGAGGATGAGAGTACTCGAGTGAGAATGAGAAGGGATGCACTGAGCAGTAGCATACTCCCCTCTATCCACCCTGCTCAAAACACCAGAATGCGTGCCGCTCACTATCGCCTGCGACGGCCAGATAATCATAAATTGATTGCAGAGTTCTTGGATTAATTTGCTTTGGCAGAACACTGTCAGATTTCTCAGGCCTAGACAGGAGCACAATCAGGGTTCTCAACCAAAGTCTTTAGCTCAAAAACCTGATCACAATGCACTGAACTACAGAGTCCGTTTTATGGAGTAAGGAGCCACTCTCAATCCAACTCCCAACCTGGAGCGCTAGGAGACTGGGTTTGTCTGCCCTCTAATCACTGACCAATCTGGTCTGAGTGGATCTGAAGGTGCATAAAGCACCTTCCAGCATTGTTCATTGGATCATTAAAGCACACACACCATCGCACCATGCCTCGTCGCAATGGAAATTACTAATCCAGACAACTTTTTCGCAGTTGGATTATTATTTTAAATTTCACGGCCTCAGAGCAACACACTTAAAATAGCGTACGTTTGCAGACAGTCCCACTAACCTAGGTGCACAGGTCAGACTGCGGAAGCTGTTGCACTTTTATTCACGCAGTCGAGTACTGAAGTGTTTCCGGTTTGGGGTCATGGTATGCGACCGCCAACTTCCGGTAATCGGATGCCTATCCTGCATTAGAGCGAAGCCGCATTGTCTAAAAATACCTGCTGACCTCAACCTGAAAAGTGATTTCATCATTTGTGTCCATGAATTTCGATTAAGCTTGGCGTTTCAAAGCTTGACAGCGCTAGCCATTTGCACTTAAGGGAGCATTTCGTCTGCTTGTGCGTATCCAGCGATAAGCGCACTCCCACTTAATGGCATGAAGCAAAGTGAGAAGTCAGTATTGAATGAAGAGTTTTTTCGATAAAACATGTCAAATGCACCTAATTGGGCTGAATCAGTAAATCGTTGTCACTGAAGGTGGTATATAAAGTGCAATATGGGTATACCTAGGTTCATCAACTTCATGAAAAATAAAACTGTTTAGTTTACCGAATTACTCCACAGTGCCACCTAGGCGGTTCGGAATTGTCCCGCTGCAGCGAAGTGTTCGGCTGCAGTGCTTCAGGAAATTGCAATTTTTCCTCTGTAAAGCGTTATCCTCATCAACACAAAAGTCTGTTTAACAACACTGTGACGTGGCTGTTGTGCGTCACCGCCAAATACAGTAACTGTCTCCTGCATCATCCCGGTGGAGCGTCCTAACCCTGCAAGTGTGTGCCGACATCATGGGGAAGATTGGGCTCTTGATTAGTAATTCTCCAGCGGAACGGTAATGAACTGAACAGACACCGACTCCCATTGGGCACGATTCCTTGAACTCTCACCGCTACCTTGCGGGTAGGATATGCAGACAGACTTGGGATGTTGTCCTAAGACAACTCGAGAATTCGGCTTGTGCAGCCGTTCGTTTTCTATGCTGTCCTCAACTACTTTTGCTTCGCCATTAACACACCACCCGTCCATATGTTACAATTCACTGTTATCCGTTGCCAGTCAATTTCTGA